ATCACAGGTAGCTTGCCAGGCTTTGCTGTGTGGGCAAGGTACTCTCGGTAGCTTGCCGGGTTCTCTGAGAGGGACAAAGGAATCAAACTCGGGTCGGTCATGTTGGCCGCTTGGAAGGCAAATGCCCTACCCACTGTGCTATCGTATCCATCTTATGGTGATTCAATAATTTTTTTCTCTTTTTGGGTCACACCCGGCGATGCTCAAGGGTTACTCCTGTCTCTGCACTCAGGAATTACTCCTGGTTGCTCAGGGGACCATATGGGATGCTGGGAATTGAACCTGGGTCAGCTGCATGCAAGGCAAACAAACGCCCTACCCGCTGTGCTATCGCTCCAGCCCCCAATTTTTTTTTTTAAAGAAAGAAATACAAGGATTCAGAAAAAAGGACCATGGGCAGAGAACAGAGCCAAAGCAAAGAAGCAGAGCCAGGCTAAAAGGGGACAAGAGCCTGAAACTTACATATCAGTTAATCTGCCCAGAGATGCCCACATGTTGCCGGCAGGTAGGCGGAGGTGATCTTGGCAATGACGCTGAGGACCTGCTACAGCTCCAAATCATGATTAAGTCAGTAAGGAATCAGCAACGGGGAGCTAGACATAGCACTTGGATACAGCTCTTGCCTTGCATGTGTCTCACTCTGGTTCTGTCCCTGGCACCTCATATGGTCTCTCGAGCACTGTGAGTAGTAGAGTGATTCCTGAGTGAACAGCCAAGAGTCAGCCCTGAGCACCGCCAGCCACAAAACAAAATAACTGGAGAAGGGAGGGACTCAAAATCTACAGGAAATAATGGGATCATCTGCTCTCACAAACAAGGATCCGGAAGGAAATGAGGCTCACCCCAAATTCCTCAGTAAGAGGAGAACCAAAGCATGTACCCAGATCTTCTGCCTCCCAGTTTAGTTAGCATCTTCTTCAAGGCTGTTCACTTTCGGTCAAGGATGTCTCCGGAGAGTCCCACTGATAGACTAGGTACCCAGCTCCTGCTGCCTCAGAATTTGGGGGCAGCTGGCGTACCCATCAGATAAACAGAGGCACTTCTGCCCAACAGTGCAGTGCAAGCTTCTGCCTGCAGGTAGAATTTAAACCCAGATTTCCTCAGGAAACGTGCAGCTAGCAGCCCCACCTGGGCACAGCAAAGCAAAATGCCGCTGTGGTTTATGTCGGCTACCGCGAGCAAACTAAATTGTTCCCCCACATCCTGGCTTCTCGTGGGCATGGGTCTCATCCCCATTACCGAGCTACCCTGGGAATTTTCCAGCCCTGGCTCACGAAGCCCAGTAGCTATGGAACTACTTTTGAGACATATATTTCACTCACCTACATAAAGCACATAGTTTTCAGCACTGTGGAAATATTTATAAGAGCCCTCTAGGTCTAAAATCCCAAAGTCATTCTCAGGCCAAAGATGAAATATAGCTCAGAAAAAAAAAAAAAAAACCTTGAGACTCTTAGGAAAGCAGAGACCCTGATTCCCAGACTTCTAGAGCTGTCATTCAGTTGAGCATGCCTTTGCAAAGGGATACAGCCAAGGGCATTCCAGTTACACAGAAGGCAGAAAGACCTGGATGTCAAGACCCAGCCTGCTGTTTACCTCCTTTGTGATCCAGGCTCCAGGACCTGAGTCCTTGGTCTTCTTGATCCCTGATGATTATGGCCTCTGTGTCCAGATAATAGGGAGGATGAGATAATATGTCGAATACACTAGTTTGCTGCCTCGTCCAGTCTAACTACCAAGCACCAATGTGCTTAGTTGTTTTCTTCTGTTCACTAACAACACAGGATGGCTCGATCACAGTTCACTCCTATCTACTGGTGCTTTCCCCTCCACGTGTGGGCCCTCCTGGGCAGATGTCCTACCTGAGGACCCTGACTAGACAGCTCTGCTTATGCCATGGACACAGAAGGCAGCAGTTAGCGACATACCACACTCAGGTCCCTGAAGGCTGGAGTCATCAGCTTATATTCCAGATTGCTTCTTTCTCCCTTCTCCCTGGGTGTCCCAGGGCCTCCCTGATCAGATCCCCAACCAGGGAAGCATCTAGATTAGATGACTCTCATCTTTTCCAAGGTAATAGCACTCTAGAGGCTTAGAGCTACCCTCCAGCCTGTCTCTTGGCCTCAGGGACCAAAACATCCCACAGGTCAGAGCTGAACACAGAGAGCCATAGATAACGCCCAGACCCAATTTACCAGAGGAAAATAGTCAGGAGTCTGGGCTCTGCAGAGAGCTGGGCCAATTTACATAGTGGCCCCCAGGCACTGGATTAGAAAGAACAAGGAGGCCCAGGAGATAGCTGCCATGAACCTCAAGTCTACTCCTCAGACTGCCCTGATAAGAAGCTACATGAAAGTCACCTCAGTGGCATGCTGTATGTCACTGCGCCTGTCACCTTGCTGCATATCACAATGGCCATCACAGGTTAAAAGGCTTCACAGGGCTAAGAGAAAGAAACCAACTTCTTCCCAGTGCCTGCTGCATGCCAAGAACTATGGTGTAATCTTCATCAATGACCTTCTGCAGTAGGTATTATTACCCTCAGCTTGCTGATAAAACCAGAAACTCGGAAAACTCCCAGAAGCCTCTGTACCTTTGCTATGCTATTAGACCTCAAAGCCTTAAATGTTCTGGGAAAGACCAAGAGAAAAAAAAAGGGAGAGTCTAATAAAACACTGTGTACCGAGCGCTCAGCACCTTAACTCACGAAGCAGACAACAGCATAAATGCTGCATTCCCCACTCACAGCTGATGCAGTCTACCCGCCTCAGACAGAATCTGGAGAGATTTGGCAAACCCATCAAGAGGCTCATGACATTACCCCCTGTACCGTCATCTCCAAGATTCTGACTTTGGAAACTATTTGGTAATTCATTGCAGAGTACACCATAGTTACAAAAAGTAAGGGAAGGTGGAGAGATAACCTAACTGCCCAACAGTCAGAGAATGATCTGGAAAATCCCAGAACTTTAAAGTCACATGCCATCGCCCAGCCACTCCCAATCATCTTCAAGGTCAAGAGAAAACAAAGCAAAGCATCTGTGATAAAAATGAATGTGCTGAAAGTAGACTTTAGACCAAACATGATTGCCACTCAATGCCTCTTTTGCAAACCACAGCACCCAAAAGGAGAGAGAGAACAAAAAGGAACGCCCTGCCACAGAGGCAGGGTGGGATGGGGGGGATGGGGGGGGTGGAAGGGATACTGGGATCCGTGGTGGTGGAGAATGGGCACTGGTGGTGGGATGGGTACTCAATGATTGTGTAACTGAAACCCAAGCACAAAAATTTGTAAATCTACAACTGTAGCTCACAGTGTTTCACTAATAAAAATCTAAAAAAAAATGAATGGCTGAAAAACAGACATCATAAATGCTATTACCATAACTCTGCAAAGCACGCACATGTGCGCGGGCAAGAAGGAATCCAGCTGGACAGGATGGCAAAATGATGGTTGATCTTATTACCACCAAGTCTAAATTGTCTTTGTGCTGCTGTTGAAGATGTTTTCAACTCAAGAAAAACAGAGACAGATCCGCCCCAGCACTAAGGAAAGGCCCAGGAGAAACAGGGCTGGGATGGGAAGCAGAAATCGGGAGCCGTCCTACATACCCGGAAGGAGGAGGCCAGTCGGGCCCAAGGGGGACAGAGGCCCTCGAGGTACAGTGAGGGTTGTAATTAGTCTGAGGCTAATTACAGAACATCTCAACTGCTTATTAATTTTTTGACAGACTCTGAATGAAGACTGACTCCCTTCATTAAGCCAACTTAGTTCAGAGGCTCAACTCCTATGTGGCCATTTTCATTCTTCTTAAAAACTTAGTTTGGCTGGGCTGGAGTGATAGTACAGAAGCTAAGGCAGGTAAGCCTTGCACCTGGGTTTGATCCCTGGCATCCCATAGGGCCCCCTGAGCACAGCCACAAGTGAGTGCAGAGTCAGGAGTAACCCCTGAGCATAGCCAGTTGTGGCACAAAAACAAACACTTAATCTGGGATCAGAGAGATACCACAGCGGGTGAGGTGCTTGTCTGGTATATGATGGATCTGGGTTTGATCCCTGGAACCCCATATTGTTCCCTGAGCCTCACCAGGAGTAAATCCTAAGTATTGCTTGGTATGGTCCAAAAACAAACAAACAAAAAACAAAAAAACTTAAGCCATTTTTTGAAAGAAAGAAAGAAGGAAAGAATGAAAGAAGGGTCAGAGCAATAATGGTACAGAAGACTGAGACTTTGCCTTACACGTGGCTAATCTGGGTTTGATCCCCTGTATCCTTATGATTCCCTTGTGTGCCACCAGGAGTGATCCCTAAGTACAGAGCCAGGAGTAATCCCTGAGCACCACCGGTGTGGCCCAAAAAGTCAAAAACATAAACATAGGAAGAAACTAAAATTCAGCAACAGAAACACACACCCCTGGAGAAATTAAGACTCTTGCCTTGGATGTAGAAATTCAAGACATTTCAGGGAACTAAAGGGGCTGGAGTGAGCAACTGAACTACTGCATTCTCCACACTGGGAAATATAAACAGAAGTGCAAAAATACTTAGTTCAGTATTAAAGGGCCCCCTGGATCAGCTTCCGACCCATCTCTCTGATATTACTTCACATTCACTCCCACAGATACGCCATACACCAGTGGTCCCCCCAAATATTTTCTTCTCTTTCTTATCCCTGGGACTCTGTTCAAACTGAAACTCCTCTTCTCTCTTAACACTGCTTACTCAAATCTGAATGCCACCCAGGGCACAGCTCAAAGCCTACCCCAACCCCTGGGCCCTGCACCTCACTACACCAAGTTCATACACACTATGCCGTGCAGTCCAGTGGCCTGGCCACATGCCTTTTCTACCACATTAAGCCACAAGAATCTCGAGGGCAAGAGATGATCCCATCAGATTTCTGCCTGGGATGCACAGCAATGCTTATAGACTCAAGTGCGGTGTAGGGCCTCCCCTGAAAGATAAGGAGAAGAGACACCTCTGGAAAGTGACCTCCTACCTCAGTTGTTCCTGCTAAGCAATGCAGAGGGGAAGGTGAGCTCTTCTGAGGTGGTGAGGAAGAGAGAGACGAATCTTGCTTCTGTAGTTCCCGGCCTTCCTGAGACTCCAGCTTCCTCCCCAGTTGGCCATAGTCAGCCCGGCCCCAGGTAAACACCTTGCCAGTTTCTAAAAACAAATAGGATTTGAATTAAGGCATCGTTCCACAGCTGTGATCTCATGGGCAGGCAAGGAATGACAAGACAAAGTGCGAACATTTATTTTAATACAAACACTGTGCACCGGGAGCTTGCCGATGTTTCTCTGAAGGAAGCGTGACTATTCACATCTCTACAGGTAAGGAACTGGGGTTCGGAGAGGTGAATCAAGATCAAACAGGGGATGAGCATCAGAGGCTTATCCTAAAGCCAAGACTACAGCACGGGTGCTACTGCCTATAACACAGTAGCCAGGTACAGACTGTGCCCAGCCTCGCCCCATACACCCTCCATCTAGGCCCTGCCCAGATGACCCTTCTCCAGCTCTCCCCTCTCATCTGGTCAGTCACCTTGAAGTTCCTAGGCTCCTGACTTACTCCATTCAATCTCTTGGGGCCATACTCTAAGCTCGATTAATAGTAGGGTTTGTGCATTTTCCCCTCCATATAACATATATTTCATATCATCATCACTGTCATCCAGTTCTTCATTGATTTACTTGAGCAGACACCAGTAACGTCTCCATTCGTCCCAGCCCTGAGATTTTAGCAACCTCTCCTTACTCATCTTTCCCAACACTGCCATACTGGAGGCTCTTTCAGGGTCAGGGGAATGAGACCCGTTATCGTTACTGTTTTTGGCATATAAAATACACCATGGGTAGCTTGCCAGACTCTGACATGCATATTTCATATATGTTATATAACATATAAGGGCCTCCCTGAGTCTACGCCCTTACCCAAAGGAGCAATTCTAACAGTCCCAATGCAAGTGCTAAAGAAAAGAGAATGAAGGAAAGGAGAGGAAAAAAAGACAACATCATCGGGAGCCAGAAAAGTATTCAGTCGTCCAGATGCACTACCACCTGGGCTGTTGGCCAGTGCTAAAGATGAGAGAGGAAAATGAAGTTTGGGAAAAAGATAAATGGACATTCTTCTCCTAGATAAAAGAGAATTCACCAAGCTCATTCAGTTGTTCCAAGTACGACATTTGTTATTTCAACAGAAATGCAAAATCCGATGAGGCATAGATTATTAACAGATTCTCTGCAATAAATATGCATAACCATGTGCGCCGTATAAATTCTTTATACATGTTTATTTTAACAAAGAAAAACTTTGCTTAAGAGACAAAACACCAAGTAATGCATATTAAATTTCTAGACAAATCTACTACATACTCTGTGTTTAGTATCAAAGCTTCATCTGGCCCCACATTCAACATATGGTTTATGGTGTCAGCTAAAAAACAACCACAGACTCATGGGGGAAATGTCAGAGTACTGCAGGAAGACAGAGCTCCGAAGGGATATAGTTCCCAGGATCAATCTGTTTGGGACCCCAATGGAGATACCAATATGTCCTGGGAATCTCTCACATGTCTGAGATTCTTCCACAAGGAGCAGAGCCGGATGGGGCGCCAGGATACATAAGCACTGGGAGTGGGTCCATTCAGATGTGCCATTTCATGGCTTCACATGCGTCGCTCCTTTTAGCAGGGATGCCCTTTCCATAAAACCTCCATCTGGACTCAGCCTTTAGAGTTCAGCTCGTGTGCCACCTGTTCTGTGAAGCCTTTCTAGACTCCCCAACTGTCCATGGGAAGGAGGAGAGTCACGTGTCTATGAGTCACTTTATCATTACCCTCATTAAGTGCCACGTTCCCATGGAACAGCCGGAAAGTTCAGGCACATCTCCCTTGGATCAGCCCCTGGATTGCACGGCTAAGCCACAGCTCCTCCTACAAGCCGACAGGATCATGTGACAATGGTCATTTACAATGGCCCCAAAGCACTCAACACTCTTCTGAGACTTCGGCAGGGTTAGACCACAAAGGATCCCACGCTGGCAACCGTGCCTCTCCCTTGGGCCGGCTGGGAGTCCCAGCCAGCCTCCCTCAGTGAGAAGAATGCCAGGAAGTTGCTCTCTTCATATGAGGCAGGGACTCCCAAGCAGTGCTCAGAAAACCTAGGGGCTAGTCCCAGCAGTACTTAGTGGTTCAGGTGGCTCAGACTAGGGTTCATGCTGCTCAGGTCGTGCAGTGTTGGGGACCACCAGGGACACTCCAGTGGTACTTAAGGGCCACACCCAGCAGTGATGGGGTGACCACGTACTTTCCAGGGTTCCATTTCAGGCTAATGGTTCTGGACCAGGAAGATAGCTGAACACTGAGCTATCTTCTTGGTCCAGGACCATTAGCCTGAAATGACTTGGACAACCCCCTGCTGGCAAGTAGCTATCTGTAGGGTTGTAGAAAGAGTCGTGTTGTCACAAATCCCACAGGGAATCCTTTCTTATCAAAGGAAAATCTTAAAACCTTCCCTCCTATTGATTATTGATGTCCAAGAGAGGCAAGACTGCCAGAATATGGTGCTACCATTATTACATCTCCAATAGCAATTCAACCACTCCACTTACATAGCACTTTTCACCTTCAAAGCACTTTACAAAGATTAACTAATTAATCTGTGT